TGTGACCGCGGAGATGCCCCGAGACTGTGTGTTTATCTGTTTATTTATTTTTTAATATTTTTATTGATTCCAGAGAGGAAGGGAGAGGAGAGAGAGAGAGAAACATCAATGAGAGAATCGACGGGCAGCCTCCTGCACCCCCCCACATGGGGGGTGGGGGGAATAGAGCCCTGACCCGGAATCACACCCGGGACTTCCCGGTTCATAGGTCAGAGTTCACCCCCTGAGCCACACCACCCAGCAGGTTGTGTGCTTGGCGGTCTGTGTGTGACGGAGACTGTGCACCCGGCCCTGGCGGGGCTCCGGCTGGTTGGAGCGGCCTCCCTGACACCAGCAGGTTGTGGGTTCGATCCCTGGTCAGGCCACACGCCTGGGTAGCAGGTTCAGTATCCGCTCGGGGTGAGTTTGGGAGGCAACCAATGCATCTTTCTCTCTCACATCGATGTTTCTCTCTCCCTCGCTCCCCATCCTCTCTACCTCTCCCAAATCAATACATTAAAAAAAGAAGAAAGAAAGAAATGGCCCTGGCCGGTGATATTCAGTGGATAGAGCCTCGGCCTGCGGACTGAAGGGTCCCGGTTCGATTTCAGTCAAGGGCATGTGCCTGGGTTGTGGGCTTGATCCCCAGTAGGTGGCGTGCAGGAGGCAGCCGATCCGTGATTCTCTCTCATCATCGATGTTTCTATCTCTCCCTTCCTTTCTGAAATAAAAAAATATATATTTTTTTAAAAAGTGAAAGAAAGAAATTGTGTGTGCCTGGGAATATTTGGGGGTATGACTGACAGGCTGCCTGAGGTAGGGTGTGTGCACGTACCTGTGCGGCTGACTGTCATTTTTGTAAGGGGGACTGAAATGTGGAGGATTTGCAGTGTTTATCAAGGATATGACGAAGAATTGTGTCTTGCCTTGTCTGCAGCGGAAATCGTGTGACCAGCGGTTTATGGATATGTCCCCTGGTGCCTTCTGGGAGCTGGCGTCTGCTAAGGCTCTGCAGAGTCATCAGGTTGGACGTTCCCTGCATGTTTGCTGTGAACCCGGCCTGCACTGGACACACATGGATCGCCTTGGGTAACCTCACCACCACCCTCTGAGGTGGGTGCCATTATCCGGTCGGGTACGAGTAAGGAGCGAGAAATGGAAAAAAAGCACTCTGTCCTCGCTGGTGTGGCTCAGTGGATAGAGTGTCAGCCTGCAGATTGAAGGGTCCCGGGTTCGATTCCAGCCAGGGGTACATGCCCGGGTTGCGGGCTCAATCCCCAGTGTGGGGCGTGCAGGAGGCAGCCGATCCATGATTCTCTCATCCTTGATGTTTTTTCTGTCTCTCCCTCTCCTTTCCTCTCTGAAATGAAAATTAAAAAAAAATAAAATAAAAATTGAAGAAATAAACCCACTTTCACCCCAGCCAGGTAGCTCAGTAGGTTTGAGCATCATCTCTCTCATACACACACACACACACGCACACACACGCGTGCACACGTGCGCACACACACACACACGGCTACCTGGGGAGCGTGTGAGAGAGAGGGGGGAGGCGTGCACTTTAAGCAGGCTGGCCATAGAGTCACGCAGCCACCGCCCATCCCATCATTAGGAAACTGGGCCAATGGTTTTCTCCTTTGTGTCTGTTTTCAGATCTGTTCATTGGAAAGAAAGTTCCTACCCTCTGAGTCTATTCTGAATTTTTTTTTTAACAAATGAGGCTTATTTTATTTTTAATCCTCACCCAAGGCTATTTTTCCATTGATCTTTTAGAGAAAGTGGAAGGGAGAGGGAAAGACAGAAATATCAATGTGAGAGAAACACATCAATGGGTTGCCTCCTGCACGTGCCCCAACCAGGGCCCCGGCCGGGAAGGTGCCTACAACTGAGGTACATGCCCTTGACCGGAATCGAACCCGGGAACCTTCAGTCTGCAGGCTGATGCTCTATCCACTGAGCTAAACTGGCTAGGGCTGATTATGTTTTTAGTATATTTTTATTGATTTCAGAGAGGAAGGCAGAGAGAGATAGAAACATCAGTGATGAGAGAGAACCATTGATGGACTGCCTCCTGCACGCCCCACAGTGGGGATCTAGCCTGCAACCCGGGCATGTGCCCTGACTGGGAATCGAACCGTGACCTCCTGGTTCATAGGTTGATGCTCAACCACTGAGCCACGCCGGTTGAGCTGTCTTGATTATTTTGAGGATCTGTTTCCTGTGAGCGTGAGTCTCGTGTCCCAGGCCCCAGGCCAGCATCTGTCCTGCTCTGGGTGTGAGGCAGCACCCAGGTTCCCTGATGACACCGTTCTGATCTCCCTGCAGACACAGCTCCCAGGCTCACTGGTGTGCTCCTGCCCGATGGCCGTCCTCCAGGCCCCCCTGAGCCCGGTGCCCTGGGAACTGGATGGTGTCCTGCGGGTGAAGGTGGAGGATGAGG